CCATCCATCTAATAATGAAGAGCACGCACAGAAATTTGGCAAAAAAAAATTATGAATATTACGGAAATTATCTACAGAAAAAAAACCCTTTTCGAAATAGAAAAACTCGCAAACGAAACGCTTCTAATCAATGGCTATCACATGCAAATTCCGAGCGTGACATCATCACAAGCGCGGGTCGTCGATAAGCAGCAATAAGAGGAAGAAAATTGCAGATGTATGTTGACTATCCTTTGTCAACGAGCACTCCTCCTCTCAGTCACTAACCGCTCGGATGGAACACACACAGCAGACAAGTAAACGTATATGTGACTGCTGTGATACAGAGAAGTCAGCTTGTCCATCAACAACGCCAAAACATTTCCCACACTGTTAAACATAGCAGTAAGTGAACGCAAGCAACAACGAGCACGCCATAGTATTATTGGCGCACGGGAAGTGTGGCCGGCCGTGGGGTATCATTTCCTAACTACTTGCTCACAAGGGGAAGGGAACGACGGGGAAGTTCGCTGGACGGACAGAACAACAGCGTCGTGATTAATTCAATACATCAGATTTCGTCGCTGGGTTCCGCAGTGGTTCATTTGCCATCGTATTATCACTGAAATCAATTGAAATGCTGCCATAGCAAATAAGCCGTGAAACAGCCACCAAAAATTCCAACCCCCCCCCCGGTCCTCTCTCCAAAACCAGCTAAGAAGCCAAAAGCAGAGTGCAAACCAGGATCTATATGCCGAAATAAATTACACAGCGCTGCTCGAAAGCGGCTGAATGATGATCGCGTAGAGTGAATGTGATGAAGAGCCTCAGTCTAATCGCCTCAGTATGGGAAGCAGATAACGATCGCGGCGTGCAAAAACGACACGATCGTCATTTTGTGGGTCGGTAACAAAACCCTCAGCACCACCATCAAAACCACCACCTAAAGAAATCATCCCACATAGTCAACTGTTCACTTGGTTTTCCCAAGCGAACACTTGCTATACGTAAATTGCACACTGTTACAACACTACGCGCTATAACACGTCGTCTCCATCGCACACGGCGGCGGATTGAAGATGTCCTTTGGACGGATGCTGCTGGCTGGCAACGCGTTGCGTGTTTCGATCAGCCATCCTACTAACGATCTCTTGCCGTGCTTGCCTAGCATCTCTTCACTCTCGCCATTACTGCTGCTGCTTGACTGGCAATCTACGCTCGCCCTTATGCACTGAACTTTATCAATAGACATTATCGAAAAGAACAGAACCACATTTACATTGAATATTTATCTATAAAGAATTTGTCCAAGTCTAGAAAATTTTAAGATATGCAGATAATTATAAGCACATATGTGAACAATAATACTTCTACATTGTTGTTGGTATCGAAAAGCGTAAATTTGAATTACTTAAATTGTTGGGAACTAGCTTTGTAAGTTGCATATTCCGAACACCTCATATCAATTCTGTCAGAATTCAATTTTTTTGGCGATTGAACATGGAAGTATTCATTCGGAATAGTTGAAACCGTTTCCCAGCAGTGTGCAGAAACGGACTAAGAAAATTGACAATGAGGAAAATTTATTTATTTCTTCATATCTTTAGTGTTAGTCAGGATCACGGCAGTAACGTTTCGTAGAATGTCGCTGGAGAATGTTAATGATTACCAAATTGATTACCACTATAAAGTATACATTCCACCGTAAACTTATGCATCATGTATCAGTGCATCCACATCATTTATCATCCATTCATGAGTGTTTTCCGAACCAACATCGAAGCCCAAATTTCGAAGCGAAGCGAAAATCCAGACTATTGTTCGAAAACACTGCCTCAGACTAATATCATTCCGAACCAGTATCATTTCAAACGGAGCCTCGCAATGAACGCAAAGCATAAACGTACATACATATTCATTGTTCATATTCTCGAAGAAATTAGCACTGTTCAGAGGTGTACACATGCAGTTTTTATTCACACTGTTCACCAATTAATCGTTCTCAATTAATACCGCCGAATGTTAACGATCCAGTTTAATATTAAAGTATACAACAACAAATGATATTACAGAGTCAATAAAAATACTGCTGAATGCAGACAGAGATCGGTGGTCGTTTTAAAGTACTAATTTAAGAGCGTTTGGTTTCTGCGGGTGTGTTTGAAGGTTTGATTTTGTGGTGTCATTTAGCGGATTACCAGCTAACGTTAGCTGCATCAAATTTGGTAAAGATGAATATAATCTATCGACATCAATTTCTGAAAAATGCA